GGCTATAAAAATGATCTGATCTGATCCACATTCAGCAATCTAATAGATATGGTCATTATCTATGATTCTGCGTTTTTAATTTTCTCAAATCTGCAATATTGTGGATGCAACAGATTTTCGTCCTTTGTGGGGGCGGATGGGGGTGGGGCGAAATTCTGAGATATACGTTTTATAGTGACATCTTAAAGGAGTGTGTGTACCAAATTTGGTTACTCTAGCCTTAATAGTCTCTGAGATTTGTGGTTGCCTCAGATTTTCGTCCTTTGCGGGGGCGGACGGGGGTGTGGCGAAATTTGGACAGGAAACGGTCAAGGTCCGATATCACAGGAGTGTGGATACCAAATTTGGTTCCTCTGGCTTTTATAGGTTCTGAGATCCTTGAACTCATATTTTGCAATTGGCAAAACCGACCATGAAACCTGTGTGTTAGAGTGAGACAGAGCGAGAAAGAGTGAAATTGTTTTCGTGATTCTGGCTGTAATAATTATACGATCTGGTTCAGATTTTGCACTCTAGAAGATATAGTCATCTTCTATGATTCTGCGTTTTTAGTTTTCTCGTATCGTCGAAATTGTGGATGCCACAGATTTTCGCCCTTTGTGGGGGCGGAAGTGGGCGGGGCAAAGTTTTGAAATATTTTTGGAGCAGTGACATATCACAGAAGTCTGGATCCAAAACATCGTTGCTCTAGCTCTTATAGTCTTTGAGCATTAGGCGCTGAAGGGGACGGACAGACGGACGGACGGACAGACAGACAGGGCTCAATCGACTCGGCTATTGATGCTGATCAAGAATATATATACTTTATAGGGTCGGAAACGATTCCTTCTGGACGTTACACACATCCACTTTTACCACAAATCTAATATACCCCAATACTCATTTTGAGTATCGGGTATAAAAACGAGGGGGAACGTTGTGAGTTGCTGCGGACACCGCAACTCTACAGTTATACCCGATACTTTGTCAGTATGGCTCTCATCCGGCAGACGCTGCTAATATTAAACGACACGACAAAGATTGCGTGCGAGAGAGATTTGGCCATCGTAGAGGTATCTCTCCTGACTCTCCCGCTCTATAAAATTAACCGCCTTAAGTACCTGTTGCTCAGATAAAGTACGCACAAAAGGTAACACAATTTGATGCATCATATCATGATCAAATCAAATCAAACTTTTCAGTCTCACGCTTCAGCGTGACACTGCAGAAATCTGTTTTTTCGCTTCACTTTTGCGCGCACTTTGAAGATTTTTTATATTTTTGGGTATTTTACTATTTTTTATAATATATTACTATTTATTACTATACAATATTTGCATATACAATATATAATTCAATATAATATTGAATTAAGAAAATATATTCAAAGTATCAGGCTGTTCTGTTTCTTCTGTTTTCCCTTTTTTCGTAATCGCCGCCTCAGTTTTTTAAGGCGAACACATACAACTAAAAAGCATCACGTATTGTTTTTTGTCCAGTATGTACATATGTGTGCATGCAAAAAAGCAAAGCAAATATGCGAAAACATAACGGTACGGTACGACTTCTCGTTTGTCAAATGTGAGTTGTGAATGAAGAAGAGAAGGGGAGTAAAAATGTCTTTCAATATTAATTTTAATTGTGGTCCCCCCCCCGGTCGACCAAAATGGCCAAAATGGATATAAAATTGGAGAAGCGGAGAAGCAAATTACAAATTCTGCGCTGCAGAAGTGCGAAAATTTGACTCTGCAGCAAAAGCCAGAAGTCGGTGGCCAGCAGACGGCTGATGATTGCTTTGATTGCTCCAATCTGACAGCAGCACAGTTGGAGCAGGTGGCCCTACTGACGGCCGCAGCCAACCCTGGGCAATCCAGCGTCAGTGTTATTATAACGACGCCCGCCGAAAGTCTGTTGGATATTGTGCAGACACTGTCTGGCACCGCGGCCCAGATAGTGTCGATATCGTCAACCGTATTAAAGGGGAATTCCAGCAAGGGAACCACTTCCAAGGTGCCAATCAGGGTGGATGTAGGAGTGGGCGTGCCGCCCAGTGTCGGCAAGATAGATATGGAGATGTACCCGTCACCACAACAAGAAGAGCATTATTACCCCCAGCATATGGCGGCACCGGAGGACAAATATCAACAATCGCCCGCAGCCAAACCGAGTGTGGTGGTGCAGACACAATCTGGCACCGCGTCGCAGCTGATCGTTCCCATGGAAGCGAATATAGCATCTCATCAAGAGGTACCAGCAATATCAGTAAGTAAATGCAATTAAACTTGAAATTCACAAGATCGCATCTATCTATCTATAGTATCTATCCCAACAGAAATCGACCACCGATAATCAGAGTTTTCGCATCCTGGAACATGTTATCATTCCATCCCAGCAGCCGGGCAGCATTGGCAGCCTCTGCAAACAAGAGCAACAGCAGAAGGCGACTACCGCTGGAGGCAGTGCCCAGTGCTACTGGCGCGTCGTTGCTGTTGGCTTGCGGTTCTCGTCGTTTCTCTTCTGCCGCTGCTGCGTCGATGCTGTCGGCTTGCGGTTCTCGTCGTTTCGTTCTTTTCATTGCCGTTGTTTTGTTGCTTGCTGACTTACGGTTCTCGGCGTTTTCGTCGTCTCTCGTTTGCCGCTGCTGCGTCGTTGTTGTTGGTTTACCGACCCTGAAAAGTCAGTGGCGTCTGCCGTGAAAATAAAAGGCTACGTGGGGCTTAGATACCCCTCGGGCCGTATAATAACAAATTAAAAACGTGTAGCCTTCGTGGCCTTTCCCCCCTCGCCCTTAACCTAAAACTGCAAAGTCAATGCTTAAATCTAGAGAACAAGGAAAGGTCAAAATCTTAATTATAATAAGGAAACGTAGCTTAGGATCCCTCCAGTAGAAAAATGACGGCGAAATGATGGGCGGAAAAAATGTGGGTGGAGCGGAGCGTACGCGCAGAGCACGCATTAATTTTAAAATATTACTTACTCACTGTCCTGCTGCATAAACTTTAATATAATAATATAAGTACCTTTTCGAGTTTTTTGTTTTTATGTAGTGGACAACGATTAGTAGGACTGATGTTTTCATCAGAGGTCGACCAGCACGCTATCATTCCGGCTACTGTCTCGTCGGCAAAAGGGTGGTGTTCTGTTTATTTGTCTATTCTGATACCTACGATATTTTTGTATATTAAAAGAGCATGCAAGACATGTACAAGTACAATTACAGAACCGGAGAGAAACAAAACTTTTGGCCATTAGACTTCACTTACACATATGCACACGCACGCGAAACGAACGGATTAAAGGACGTCCTCAGCTGGAATGAAGGACCACGCCCACCCTTCCTTGGTCATAATCTGCCATCTTCCTCTATACTTCATGACCCCTTTTCTTTAGGGCTCGCTACTACAGGGGCTGGGTATCGCAAATCAAGATCAACGTTTAAGGAGACAATTTAAATTTATTCATTAATAGCTAGAATTTAAATACTTATTGAAAGAAAAAAACATCTAACGAGGGGGAACGTTGTGAGTTGCTGCGGACACCGCAATTCTACGGTTATACCCGATACTAAGTCAGTATGGCTCTCCTCCGGCAGACGCCGCTAATATTTAACGACACGACAAAGAGTGCGTGCGAGAGAGACAGAAAATCAGTCTGAGCGTGACGTCGGGCGCTGCGTAGCCACTGCAAATTGATTTGTTCCTTTTGGCTATAAAAATGATCTGATCTGATCCACATTCAGCAATCTAATAGATATGGTCATTATCTATGATTCTGCGTTTTTAATTTTCTCAAATCTGCAATATTGTGGATGCAACAGATTTTCGTCCTTTGTGGGGGCGGATGGGGGTGGGGCGAAATTCTGAGATATACGTTTTATAGTGACATCTTAAAGGAGTGTGTGTACCAAATTTGGTTACTCTAGCCTTAATAGTCTCTGAGATTTGTGGTTGCCTCAGATTTTCGTCCTTTGCGGGGGCGGAAGGGGGTGTGGCGAAATTTGGACAGGAAACGGTCAAGTTCCGATATCACAGGAGTGTGGATACCAAATTTGGTTGCTCTGGCTTTTATAGGTTCTGAGATCCTTGAACTCATATTTTGCAATTGGCAAAACCGACCATGAAACCTGTGTGTTAGAGTGAGACAGAGCGAGAAAGAGTGAAATTGTTTTCGTGATTCTGGATGTAATAATTATACGATCTGGTTCAGATTTTGCACTCTAGAAGATATAGTCATTTTCTATGATTCTGCGTTTTTAGTTTTCTCGTATCGTCGAAATTGTGGATGCCACAGATTTTCGCCCTTTGTGGGGGCGGAAGTGGGCGGGGCAAAGTTTTGAAATATTTTTGGAGCAGTGACATATCACAGAAGTCTGGATCCAAAACATCGTTGCTCTAGCTCTTATAGTCTTTGAGCATTAGGCGCTGAAGGGGACGGACAGACGGACAGACGGACGGACGGACAGACAGACAGGGCTCAATCGACTCAGCTATTGATGCTGATCAAGAATATATATACTTTATAGGGTCGGAAACGATTCCTTCTGGACGTTACACACATCCACTTTTACCACAAATCTAATATACCCCAATACTCATTTTGAGTATCGGGTATAAAAACTAAAACTAAGCGTGATCAACTGTTTAACAAAGCGATGCGATACAAAAGTATATACATGCAGATACATACTTATACGATAGACATACATATGCATAAATATATGTATGTTGTATAATGATCGTATAATTAGTTTGATTTGTGGTGTGAGAAGTTTGCGTTGTTCTGTTCGACTTGTTCCTTAAAACCGTTTTGCAACAAATTCCTCTGTTCCTCTGTTGCTTGCTTAATTGCATTTGTCTCCCTATCTACAGTGCTATTTATCCGGTATGTGTACTTTAATTGTGGCTGCACTCTCGTACATATGTATATGGTTTGTTATTTGCCTAAATATCATTAAATATTGTATATGTATATGTTAGTAAATATATAATATATATAATCATCTTTTATCTTTTTGGTTTATCGTTTATCGTTTCTCTCTTCGGTTGGTGCAATGTAAAAATCCATGTAAAACGCGATTTGAGTATTCAATTTGTCCACTAATTAACATTAAATGTACGAGTCGGTTCCTCTTACAATGACGAACTCCTGCGGTTGTGGCGGCTGTGGCTGGCGCTTCAGTTTGTTGTTGATGCACTATGCACGACTCTCCTCTGAATATGAATATGCAAATGCATGGGTCTGTGCTATGTACTATGTATTGTATGCTTCTTTATGCACTATACTACACGAGTATATGGTACTTGGTGCTGGTATCCTCTTGGTTGCTTAGAAAGTGCCTGAAGGGGAATTAGGCAATTAGGCAATTAGGGGGAACGTCTTGTGGAAATGGATTTGGATACTCACTGGGACACTCTGGTGGGTTCATATAGCCAAAGACATTTAATTCATAGAGCGACGCCAGCGTGATGAAGAACAGGTACCAGAGCATCAGAATTATACCCAGGCGCTTGTCCAGCTTCCAGCCGTTCAGGTGCGTCGAGAGGATCAGAAAGACGACGGTAGAGAAGAGCGAGAGTGTCGAGTAGGCGAGACCTGGAATGGTTGAGGAGAAGAGAAGGGCACTCAAAGATTAGACCGGGTGACGGCCAGGGCTGCTGCTACGTCAGCTAGGCGAACTGTTAGAACACTCATGCCAGGCATATCACACACATGTTGCATACGACGAGTACTACGGGCGGGTGAGACACAAACGGGCGGGCGGGGAAGGGGGAGATGGGGAGAGAGTACATACCCTTGGAGATGACATTCACGTGCGAGCCGGGCTTTATGATGGCCGTTTGTATGAACCATGGAAGACCTAAGCACACTAGGATATCAAAGACATTCGAGCCAATCGCATTCGACACGGCCATGTCGCCGTAGCCCTCTTTGATAACGGCTATTGAGCTTAGGGCATCCGGCACAGAAACGCCAGCAGCCACGAAGGTTAGGCCCATCACGGTGTCGGGGATGGCCAGGGTGGACCCGATCACGGTGATCATCCACACCATAAAGTACGAGTAGAACGAGATCCAAACCATCGATAGCAGGAAGGTGAACCAAACACACTGAACTTAAATGTAAACATTAGATTGGAGTGATGGCAAAAAGTCGATAGCTTTTGTTTTCATTTTTTTCGCCACTTTACCTTACATTTAAAAAAAAAATGTACATTTTACGTCATTTTGCGACATCACCTTTCACAACCCCACGTTTCCACACGCCAAGTGACCTTAGAATAACCTTGCGTCTAGACACTTTTTTAAATTTGAATTTTTTTCTTAAATCATTTTTTAATCATTTTTAATGCAAATGAACTAACCTGAACTTTGAAAATCGCTTCGGATCGTTAAAAAATAAATCTTTAATAACAATTTTATTGTGATTTTTTTTTGTTAAAAACTTAAAGTTGCAAAAAAACACGAGAAAATCGCGAAACTTCACTTAAATACGGCCACTTGACACAGGTTCTTTTTTTTACAAATCCGGAATCATTCCGGAAAACAGGCCCACAGCTTCTCCGTTATAAATATTTTTTTTTATTTAAAAAAAAAACGCTGATTTTTTTTTTGATTTTAATTTTTTTCCAAAAATTTTACAACACAAGACTCAGAGTTGCCACGTCGCTGGTGGTTTTTCTAACAGGGTGGTACCACCCTTTGGCAGTTCAAAGTTAACCGTTATAGCTTGGTAGAGTGGAACTAGTTCGTTGCTAGATGTGTTTATTTTTTTTATTTCATATTTTAAATCAAATCAAATATCGAAATCGGGTAATTTGATTTCCGATCATGAACGGAAACAATTACCTAAAACTTGGAATTTAGAGCAGTTCAGGGGAAAGATGTCGTGTTTTTGTCGTCGTCTCGGGATCTATTCCACATGGTACAAAAAGAAACCGTCGTGCCGACGCAGGTTTTTTTAATTTTCGCTATCTTAAATCGCACTTTAGTGCATCATTTATTCCAATGGATTGCATTTAAATCCCTGTCGCTCATTCACTTTTAAACAATTTCTATTTGGCGCGTATCCAGTCGATAGTATCGACATTAATTTGTAAGCCCTGGTTTAGTCAAAGTACAATCACTAACCATACAGTATATAGATGTGCCAGTTCATACAACGAAATTGTCACACACCGACTTGCGCTATCCGTACCCCAGAGTGACGTCATCATGAGAGATAGAGCGCAGAGAGAACATCTTTGCATGTGTTAGTACACACGCAATATGTTTCGACAAAAATATGTGATTGTATGTTTTTTCAGATTTTTTGAACTCTCTCAGGTCTGATCTGTTTTGCCACCAGCATGTTTTAGTGTATGGGTGCACATGCATTCTCACGTACTTTGCGTGTGTGTGTTTACTATTGCTGGGCGCTAGAACTGAAATTTGAGTTTGGTTCTTGTTTCGGGTCTTTTGATGGACTGACCTACCGCCACAAAATAAATGAAGAATGGGCAGGGGGTGGGGGGTATGGTACACTAGGGCGCGGGAAACAAAATAAAAGCTGTTATTTGTTTGATTTATACCACAAAATATAAAATATTGCAATAATATAATTACACATTTATTTCCTTATTTTAAACAGGTTGATTATAAATTATAAAAATTATGCAAAGGCGTCGGTTCTCGACTATATATAATAATATAATTGCACATTTATTTCCTTATCTTAAGCAGGTTGATTATAAATTATACAAATTATGCAAACGCCGTCGGTTCTCGACGTTTTTGTTTATTATAACTAAAACAATGATGTATGTATCTAAATATACAATATAAGAAAATATATATATGTATATACTTAAATAAATATGCATAAATATAAATGGAATTGGTTTTACATATATTTCAAATCAATTGTCAATCGCGCGCTTTCCGACGGGAATCTGCAAAGTACAAATTTAGATGCGGGTCGCACCTTGAATACTCTCATGGACAATACCCATAAATTTTCTAATTCAATTATAAAATATCTTATTTACATACATATGCACATAAATATTAAAGTTTATTACATTCGTATATTGCATAAGGGCTTTCAAAATTACTGCTGCCCGGTCAGCGTCGAGTCGGTGTGTCTCGAGAGAAAGAATACAAAAACAAAATATGAATCGTCTGCGTGCTGAAACCGTAGGGCAGCGTGGTCGCTGATGTCTTTGGCGCGGCACAGTGGGACTCAGCCGAAATAGTAAAAAAATTGTATGAGTGCTTTAGATAAATTCTAATAGAGAATTTTCCAATCGAATTTTCCCACTGTGCCGCTCCAAAGACATCGGCGATCCGCGACCACCGCTTCGACGGTGCTGAGGCTCGAGAGTCCAGAATTGCCGAACAGACGAAACCGATGGGCAGCGGGGTCGCGGTAGAGACGAAGTACAGGCGAAAAGGGAATTGAAACCCCGCGCGCTCCCTCGTGCCTTTTGGGTTCTAATGTTAGGACCCGCCATAGAACAGCTTTTTGGTCGCTCATGCAACATCTTGGTATTGTATAGTCTTTGGTATTGTATAGTCTTTGATATAAATAATCAACCTGCTTAAGATAAGGAAATAAATGTGTAATTATATTATTGCAATATTTTATATTTTGTGGTATAAATCAAACAAATAACAGCTTTTATTTTGTTTCCCGCGCCCTAGTGTACCATACCCCCCACCCCCTGCCCATTCTTCATTTATTTTGTGGCGGTAGGTCAGTCCATCAAAAGACCCGAAACAAGAACCAAACTCAAATTTCAGTTCTAGCGCCCAGCAATAGTAAACACACACACGCAAAGTACGTGAGAATGCATGTGCACCCATACACTAAAACATGCTGGTGGCAAAACAGATCAGACCTGAGAGAGTTCAAAAAATCTGAAAAAACATACAATCACATATTTTTGTCGAAACATATTGCGTGTGTACTAACACATGCAAAGATGTTCTCTCTGCGCTCTATCTCTCATGATGACGTCACTCTGGGGTACGGATAGCGCAAGTCGGTGTGTGACAATTTCGTTGTATGAACTGGCACATCTATATACTGTATGGTTAGTGGTACAATACAATGCGGGTACTTGAAAGCACTCGTACTGATAAGGTTTCAAAAAAATGTACATATATGAGTTTAAGAAGCTTTGGTTTGGCAATAAAAGTCAAGGATTTGTTCATGTAAAATGATGTCGGCCATTTGCTCAAACTGGTTTACAGGGTCGTTCTACAGCGGCAGTCCGAAAAGTGCAATAATATGTTTCTTCTAAACATTCTATTTTATTTTTAGCCATCAATATCTACAAGCCAACGGATGCCACGACAAATCCTTCTCTTATTTTGTCGGCGTCGTCCATGGAGCGATACCAGCCCTTGGTACAGAAGGCAGTGGATTATGGAATGAGCCAAAAAGGGTATAATTGAATACTTTATTGCTTATGCTTTGATTTGACTAAATTCCTCTGTCTATCATCAGTTCGTTGAATGATCAAGTTTCCAAGGCAATGGACTATTTGTGCGTGCTGTTTGGATCCGAGATTCTGAAGGTTGTTCCAGGAAGGGTGTCTACCGAAATAGACGCCCGACTGTCATTCGACACAAAGAACAGTGTGGAGAAGGCTTCGAAGCTGATCAAGCTGTAAAAATCCCTTGGCATAGACAAGGACCGAATTCTGATAAAGTTGGCATCCACTTGGGAAGGAATCAAGGCGGCCGAGATTTTGGAAAACGAGCATGGTGTTCACTGCAACCTGACCCTTCCAACTGATCCTGATCAGATTGTTAAGAAAACTGGCAGTCTAGTCTCTGAAAGAGAAGTAATTACATTACTAAACTAAGTAAACTAAGTAAATGATTCTATCTCACTCTACTCACATGGGATTTCGATCCAAACCAAAAACACTAAACTGAAATGTAAACAAATGAGCTTTTGTTTTCTTTACATTTACTTTACATTTAAAAAAAATATGCGACATGACCTTTCACTTTAACCCCACGTTTCCACACGCGTTTCCAACTTTGTTTCCACATGTGACCTTAAAATGACCTTGAGTCTGGACACGTTTTTTAAATTTGAATTTTTTTCTTTTTCTTCATTTTTTAATCATTTAAAATATGTTTCAAACAACATATAATTTTGTACTTGAATAATAATGAAAGTTTATAAATTTATGTTTTGACGACAGACTTTAAATTAGAATAAAGTTAGTTTGAGGTTGTCGCTGACTGTGGGTGGGCTTGACGATGATACGATTATTAAGTTAAAAAATAGCACTATTGAGAAATTACGTTAAAAGTGTGGCCGTACCGCCACCAAAAAGACCATCCAGTGTCTCTCAAACTGTCGCCGCTCTCAGCACAGTCACGGCACAAAATAAACGGCATGGCTAAATCAAGAAATTCTATGGGACATTTTAATCATCAAAGCCCAGGCTCCAATGAAGGCAGAAACTTTTAATGTCTCTCTTTTAAGGCTATCAGAACGAAATTATTTACTTTATCGTCCCCTTATGGAATGAGTATCGGGATCAGGATTTATACAGGAATCTAATCACGTCGAAGCGTCAAAGAAATATCAATTTTAGAAAATGTACATATGTATTAATTACGTTTTAAAACGTACATATCTTCATATTAGATGAACGGAATAGGGTATACAAACGGCCATACTATGGTTGACAGCAACAAGTCTTCAACATTGACATGACCACATTGCGACTGTTTTTTTGTTGATATTTTTTATTTAAACCTTATTTTAGTCAAAATAATATAAATACGAGTACTTAAAAGTTAATCTTGAATAAAATGTATTCATCAAAAGGACAAAACTATGTGACCAGGGCTGGGAATATATAAATTGAGCAATAGGAACGATTACTTTCTTATGTTTTTTTTTGCTTGACCTTTTTCGCTAAAACCTTTTTTAGGAAAAGTCCAATAAATGCACGTATTTAAAATAAATCAGTCACTTAGAAAATAGGTTTGTAAATTGGATAAAATGATCTGGCAGGGCTGAGAGATCTAGATAGCTAGTAATATCGGACGGAATATCAAAATTTATGAATTTTTTGAATCGGTAATGGCTCGGTTGACAACATTTAAATCCTTGTCGTTCACATTCAAAAAATTTATATTTGGCGCGCACCACTCGTAGTATCGATAACAGAACTTGAATCGGGTAAGGACCTCTTTCACACGGTTGACCACAATGAGACTCATTCCATACTTAATATTATGTACTTAAATTACTGTACTTGGATATCGAATATGCCCAATTATTGGCCATCCGGATATTCTGTCGCGGCCGTTTCCTGCCATCATGCTATTCAGCATGTTGGTCACTTTAACTACTATTACAATTGGTACTGATAAGTTAGTTTAAATATTTATTTGATGTACTCCTCATATAATATATCCATATAAACATTGTTTTTTTTTAAATAGACCGCCAAACTACGAAGCGGCTCAAACGGAACGACGCGATTTTTGATTTCGGTCAATGAAAATGGTCAAAAAATAAATGCGAAACATGTTGGAAAGGATATTATAGAATTGTACATTTGTTATCCCAGGCTAAAAAATGTAGTCTCTGTTTAAAGGATATTTCATTGTGCTCTTACAGAGACCATTGCTCAATCCATACAATTGCGGGCAACATTAACTTGTAAACCGTGTTTTAGACAAAATACAATAAATAAAAGCAATTAAAAGTAGTTAATATTGTAGAAAATTTATTCTTTAATGGGATAAAATTAAGTGGGCAAAGCTGAAAGATCTATATAGCTTGAAATATTCGACGGGAGATATTTTTGGCAATACCCGGTTCACAACAAATGAGTCCCATTCCATGTTGCTAATTCCATGTTCACATACCCTGGCGAAAATGGATGCTATAAAGTTGAGAAAATTTTTGTCATCCCGGCTATAATTAATGCAGAAACTAGTCAGTCTCTGTTTTAAACGATATTTTGCAATTATTATTTTTCTTAAAGAGACCAAGAACTGGTACTGGGATCATGATTCTACATTCTACAAGACATGTTCTTTATCAATTAAGTTTGAAAGCAGCTTGGAAAACAAGTACCATTATATAATATTAACGAAATAGGGTATACTCTGGTTGACAAGAAATGAGTCTGCAAATACCAGTAACATTGACGTCACAAGACTGCGACTGTTTTTTTTTGTTGAACATTTTTGTTGAAACCGTGTTTTTGTCAAAACAAAAAACATTCAAGTACTTAAAAGTAATTAATCTTGAACAAAACTGATTCAGCAATCATATAAAATTATTTGGGAAGAGCTGTAATATTCGCCGGAAGATCAAAAACCAGGAATTTGTTGTAATAACCGGTTGACAGCAATGATTCCCGGCAACACTAATTTTCATATCCTAGGGAAAAGGATATTATAGAATTGAGAAAATGTCCCAGGCTCCGTAAGTATCAGGATCGAGATAAACATATAGAAAATACTAATAATATACATGAATATGTCTAAGACATATCAATTTGAGAAAAGGTCTTTATAAATTACGTTTTATCTTCATATAATATTAACGAAATAGGGTATAAAAAGGCATATACCCGCATCAAGTCTTCAAATACCAGCAACATTGCGTCTGAACGACTATCCTCTTTCGTTTTTTTTGTTCTGACCTATTTCGCTAAAAACTTTTTTTACGCAAAATACAATAGAAGCAAGTATTTAGAATAAGCCAGTTAAGTAGAAAAATGATTCATTAATCGGATAAAATTATGTGGGCATGGCTAAAGGTTCTATATAGCTGAGAATATCTCACGGAATATCAAAAACGAGGAATATTGATGGAACTTGGATAAATCGTCAGTATCTTTACGGTAGATTTTGAAATTTGCGACGTTATTTCGGTATATTTCTGATATATTTTGTCGATAAGTCCGATTACTCGCCAACACTGTTTCGTCTCCACAATAACATCCGCGGTTGGTTTTTGGACCTAAAAATTATTCTTAAATCAACACCACCCCCTTTGTGAAAACAACAAGCATCTGACTGGGCTCGCCTAATTTCGATACAGTTAAAGCTAAAAAGATGTGACAGAAATTTCTCCAAGTTGTGGAGCGGAGTGGAAACGCAGCATTACGCACACACGGGCGTACATACATATGCAGTGCGTACATATAGACGACGGTATTTTTCGTCTACGTTTCAATTCGATTTTCGGAAATTTCACCTTCGCGTTGCTGTTTTTCGGCTATTTCAAACTTGTTTTTAGTTGTGTTGCCACTCTGCCACAGATCCGCCCACCCCCTCTTCCACGACCCATTTGCAGCCGCTCACTTTTATAATTTTTTGCTTACGTATTACATGTGGCAGTGTGCGTGTGCGTTCGCGTTTGTATTTTTCAACGAAAATGAGTGCTAATTTATACTAAACATGGAATGTAAAATGCAGAAAGTGGCATAATTTCACGCAAATTCAACCCCCTGAAATCCAGTTCTTTTTTTGTTCGTATAGAAGCCAGAGATCAGCTGTAATTTACATAAAGAAACCGTCTCTTCGTCGAGGCACGTGCATGTGTTTGTGTATGTGTGAAAGCGTTGAATGGGCTTGAAAATGCTTTATGCTCGCTAAAAATAATACACATGGCTCGGTAGAATTTGTGAATAATATATAGTATATAAGTACGTAGTTCTCAAATGTGTGTCAATATGAATACCAAAGCAGCAGGTGTAAATGCAGTGTTATAAAGCGTTGCAATCTGGTGGACTGTGTGTGTGTGGGTGTTTCGCAAACATATGGAAAATATATTGCATCGAAATAATAATAAATGTTTCTTCCGTCTTCCCTTCAAAGATAATCCCACATCACATGATGCGAAGTGCTAAGCGTAGCTGAACTTCAATAAATAAAAAAAGAGAACTGTCCAAATAACAGTCCAACGACAACGAGAAAATCCAATGTTAAATACTATCACAAAAACCCATAAACCGCCCTGAGGAAGGAGGAGAGGACCTTTAAACTCTTCTAACTTCTTTTGTTTTTTTTTTGTTTATTATTATTTTTTTTTTGGTTTTGTTTTGAGAACGTGCCTTCTTTTTTTTGGCGTGCAACACTTTTTTCGCGTCTCTGTGGAAAAGTTTTGCATCGTTTCAAAAAAAAAGATACACGTCGACACATACGGCCGCTAAGATTCCAAAACCCACGGGTACTAAACTGCAGCGTCTCAAAGCCAAGGCGGCTGCCAGTCAACATTACGGCGGTGGCAATCATCACAAGTCCGGGAGCAGCAGCAGCAGCAGCAACACCAACAGTAGAGGCGGCGACGTAAATTTTGGAACTCAAGGCGTGTACAACTATCAACGCGGTGGCGCTGCCGAGGAGCGTAGCTTTGCTCCGACGTCGGCGTTGGCGGCGGGAGCGGTTGCAGCAGCCACAGTTACAGCCACAGATGTTGGACAGAAGTCATATCAATACAACAGCAACAACAACAATTATCAAAAGTCAAGCCACACCAGTGCCAATTACAACAATAATAATAATAATCAAGAAACCTCAACAAACCTGCCTTATCAGCCACATCAGCCTCCACAACAGCAGCACAACCACACGATGATGATGACCAAACAAAAGAACACGCTGGCCGAACGCCTCAACATCGGGGACGAGGTGCGCGAGCTGAAGCTGGGCTCCACCTTCAATCCGAAGAACACCTCCACCGCATTTCACACAATCAAATGTAAGATTTGATGCGCCCGGCGCATTAGAGTCGCTTCTCTCTCACACACACATTTCCCTCTACGCCATTCCAGATGACTTCAAGCCAGCTAGTGTGGATACGAGCCGTATGGCAACAGTGGATGTTGGCTCAAATAATCAAGTTACTGTTATCGTGCCAAATTCAGGTGAGTCATCAATGAGTGCATTAGAAAAAATAAGCGTCCTCTAATTAAGGTCCTGGAACTGAAACCCAAAGCAACTACATAACTACATAATAACCCCTAGGTGAGCACTGGCATTACAATAAATTATGAAGGAAACTCAGATAATTTAATAGCATGCTTCGAACACACAATACTCGAATTCGAGGAACGAGTCGTATTCAAATTGGAGCGGGAGGAACGAGCTATCTTTGAGTAGTTATCGACTTATTTCCAAAGCGATATAAAGGATAGACAGAGTAGTACAGTAAAAGGACATTGGTCAATAGAAACCCATGCATTAGGGTTCTGGGTGGCCCCTACACAGATTTCTCCCGAAACTGCGCAAATGAGGAAGAGGATGAGACGGTATAACACCCCTTTCGCTCCCGAACAACTCTAAGGAGAAGAAGGCTGTAAGATTGAGCTGCACCTTTCATCAATCAAACATGTATTGGAACATTCAATGAATTTACATGTAATATTAATGGGGCCTTCCACTTCGCTTCCACTTCGCATGGATTCCGTAGACTTTAAACAGGCTTGTGGTTGCGCTGGGGCGTTTCGTCGGTTCGGCTTGGCTTCAGTGGCTAGCTGATGACATAATTTCGCCGCATTATGCGATAGAGTAAGTTGCACGGCGACTCACACTCAACTTACGGAGCACTTATGCACATCCATAGATACAAATTAATGGATTGCCCTGTGTGTTATTTTGTTTAGACAAAAGACCGCAGCCCCAGCAGCAAAGGGTAGCCAGAGATGGAGGAAAAGGCTGAAAACCAAATTACATCAAGTCAGGCAAAATGCAACCAAGCGTTCAAGTTTTTCTCTCATTTTTTTGCCTTACCAGTACTATTTCGCTATGCTCTTTGTGGCCAGACAGTGTCTCTAGGTTGTCGACGGTCGATCGTCTGCTGTTGTTGTTGGTGGTGGTACACTCATTGCGGCCGAGACTTGGCTTGGTAACGCTTCGTTGATTGCGGGGCGACGAGTCGCCAAAAGAGTTTCGTCGGCAACGACTATACGATGTACTCGTACCGCTGGCATTTGGTCAAGTGTGGGTTGGCTCTCGAAGCATTCCATTAAAGCGCTGCTGTAACTGTTCAATTTCCCGTTCTCCTGCTGTTCCCGGGTGAACTAGTTTATAGTTTGGCATCAAATAACATTGATTCGGTGCACAAATTTCCCATAAGTGACAAGGACAGAGATCATTCGCCACAGCCGATGTGCTGTTCTCGTCGAAAAAATTGATATCATGGCATAATAAAACAATACCAATATTTAAAGCTTTCTCTTAACATAATACAAATTGTAGTAAATTTAGAGAGCGACATCTGTGAAAATCGATCCCACAGCGCATTCGCCAGGTATTAATATACATAGAACTCTTCCTTCCATATGGGACTTTCTTTCATTTACGTCAATCTTTCCATTTTGGAGACGGCCTTTTGTACCCTTTTTGTATTAAAAAAAAATAATCAATAAATAAAAAAATAATCAAGAGGATTAGTCTCTTTGGGACCTACCTGGAGGACAGTAGACACCTCCCTCACAGTAAACTACTGCCGGTGCTGGGCAATTGGTTCCGGACGGCAGTGTAAAGGGATAGTTTTGTCCGCCCGGAGCACCAATTCCGGGTCCTCCAGGACTGACCCCTTGAACACAGAGACTTAGGAGCTACCCAAGGACTTTCGATAAGCTTTCGATAAGATTTTCACAGATTTTCTCAGCTCTGAATTCGTTGGTGGACCGACTTGTTTGTTTTCATATATTGTCAGGGTATTGTGTAAAAGATTCTTAAGCTGCAGGACATGAGGCCAGCTAGTGGCTATTGCATTGTGAAAAAGCGTAGCCGCCACGACACCTAGAGACACTATTTGTAATCCAGTCAGTTTGGTCAACGCAGATCATTAGTCGTTGGTCATATTATACCGTAAAGTATTCTCTCGCAATGCTTCATGCTCCCATATGTTGTTGGACGGCATACAGTCGAAGAGGATTTCCGATCAAGTTCTGATTTGACGCGGACTGTTCTATAACGAATCGTTTTGCGTTTTAACTAAAGAGCTGATCTGCTTATATAAAACAATTTTCCACAAATATCAAGGTCAACGAAGCTTACATTTGGGCAAACGTTTTTCTACCGTTTCCACATCTCTGAACATCCTTGTTGCTGACTCTACATTGGGACAAGCTGAGCTAGAGATTTTGGCATATCCATATCAGTATATTTCCTCGCTTGCAGATTCACAGCCATCATGCTGTATGTCTGTCACGAATCTACCCATTCCGCTCTAATGGGATTGGCATGAAAATAGATATTACACACTAAAAACCATATGTATGTGATTCAAACTAGCCAATGGCACTCAATACTGAATGATACAGATTTATTTACCAAATAAATTGTTGAAAATAGCTAATTCTTCGGCTCTATCTCGCTTAAATTGAGATTGATTGGCTCTATCAGCTTACCGTCCGCATAAATCTCAATAAGTGTGCCAATGTTGTACAGAGAGGAACTGCCCTTCTTTAGCTTCGCACCGGTTTCATTTAAGAAATTCGAAAATACTTCCGTCATTTTCGATATTATTGCAAAAGTATCTTTGGGTAGCTGAAGGCAGAGTGCAGCTGCTCAAGCGAAAAGAAAAGGATCATAATAGGTCTATCACCGATAGATTCTAGCCACTTACCGATAAACAGCAACGACAGCCTCATTGTAGTCGTCGTTGCATGGGAAATGTGCCTCGGATTGCTGAAATTTGACTCGTAACTTTAGAATTTTAACTGGGGAGCAGCATGACAATTGGTATTAGATAAGCGTCGGCAAGTACATATCCAAGTACAGCAGTGACAAGGTGGAATAATAAAAGTAACAAGTTGTCAAAAAAAAAAACACAGTTAGATGTTCGATTTTTGAGGCTATTCTCCTAAAATCGCAAAAAATAAATTCATTTGAGATTCAATTAAAACGGTATAAATGTAGAGTTGGAAAAACATTAGTTTTTGTTATACCCGATACTCAAAATGAGTATTGGGGTATATTAGATTTGTGGTAAAAGTGGACGTGTGTAACGTCCAGAAGGAATCGTTTCCGACCCTATAAAGTATATATATTCTTGATCAGCATCAATAGCCGAGTCGATTGAGCCCTGTCTGTCTGTCCGTCCGTCCGTCTGTCCGTCCCCTTCAGCGCCTAATGCTCAAAGACTATAAGAGCTAGAGCAACGATGTTTTGGATCCAGACTTCTGTGATATGTCACTGCTCCAAAAATATTTCAAAACTTTGCCCCGCCCACTTCCGCCCCCACAAAGGGCGAAAATCTGTGGCATCCACAATTTCGACGATACGAGAAAACTAAAAACGCAGAATCGTAGAAGATGACTATATCTTCTAGAGTGCAAAATCTGAACCAGATCGTATAATTATTACAGCCAGAATCACGAAAACAATTTCACTCTTTCTCGCTCTGTCTCACTCTAACACACAGGTTTCATGGTCGGTTTTGCCAATTGCAAAATATGAGTTCAAGGATCTCAGAACCTATAAAAGCCAGAGCAACCAAATTTGGTATCCACACTCCTGTGATATCGGACCTTGACCGTTTCCTGTCCAAATTTCGCCACACCCCCTTCCGCCCCCGCAAAGGACGAAAATCTGAGGCAACCACAAATCTCAGAGACTATTAAGGCTAGAGTAACCAAATTTGGTGCACACACTGTCACTATAAAACGTATATCTCAGAATCTCGCCCCACCCCCATCCGCCCCCACAAAGGACGAAAATCTGTTGCATCCACAATATTGCAGATTTGAGAAAACTAAAAACGCAGAATCATAGATAATGACCATATCTATTAGATTGCTGAATTTGGATCAGATCGGATCGTTTTTGTAGCCAAAAGCAAGAATTCAATTTGCAGTGGCTACGCAGCGCCCGACGTCACGATCAGACTGATTTTCTGTCTCTCTCGCACGCACTCGTTGTCGTGTCGTTAAATATTAGCGGCGTCTGCCGGAGGAGAGCCATACTGACTTAGTATCGGGTATAACCGTAGAGTTGCGGTGTCCGCAGCAACTCACAACGTTCCCCCTCGTTTTAATTATATGAATATGAAATCAAACAATTTAGTATGTAAGTACTTTTTTTTGAGAACCCCCGCTGGAGAAGTACAAAATGCATAAAATATCATTGGCTTTTTTTATTGCTGTGTCTCATGACAAATAAGAGCAAAATTGAGAGAGATCGCGGAGAGATCTTCTCTCCCCGCATTAACCAACAAATCAATTCACCATTTTAAAAATCTTGGGCCTCGATCAGTAGCCAAAAAAAAGCGAGCTGCTAAAAAGGGATGTATTTGCTAATTGGTGAAGTGAAAGAATGCATACATATGTGTATTAAGACATATGTCTGTGTATGTTAATGTGGTTGATCCCTCAAATTGCCAAATCTAGTTTCAGCTAGAATTTTAAAGATACGGGATAACGCCGTACACTAAAGATGATGTTATCTACCAGATTACCAAAAATCGTTGTGATCGGATTGATTAATGTCCAGAATGAAGAAAACACGCCAAGTGTAGGGAGTCTCTTTGAAGACCTGATTTTCGAACACTATTATCGCATCGCTGGTTTAACCAGAGAGAGGAAAGAGAAGTCTAACAGCTCATTCGGTCAAATGTGTGATCGTCCAACGACACTATTGTATGCTGTATGATCGATTGGGACGGGACGATAGTATCGAGCTGGGTCTCTAGCTCTGTGTCTTCCTGAGTTTTGCCAACGAGGCTTTCTTTTTAAGGTATTAAGCAACGCGCATAGCAGGGTTAGGTAGCTCTTCCTTTCCGATTTTGGGCATCCTTATTGTTATTGGAGCCATTGACCAAATGGGAGTCTAAATTGCTGAAGGCATCGGTGGTAGGCAAGTTTTTTAAGCCATTATGGTATCTGGGCCAAGTTAATGGTGAAGTTGTTGGCCAATTTGTTGTAGGACAATTTGGTGGTGACCAAGTTTTTGTAGGCCACGTCGGTGTTGACCAACTTGGTGGTGGACGCAGTTTCTCTGAGCTTGATAGACGTATAGGGCATTTTCCAAAGCCTCCTGGTATTGCAATAGCTTAAAATCATCATTGCAATTATCATGTCCGTCGATATTTGACGTGAAGAGCAACGCCTCAAGGATATGGATCTTTATTAGCAATCCATATGGTATCCAGGGATGCACAGCTCACAAACTCACCCAGAAGAGCATTAGCTGTATCCTTGTCTTGTCTTGGATAATATATTGATTACGGTTCAGTACAGCCACTTATATAGAGATGACGGCTTGTCAAGCACATTTTATAATATTCAAGTTTGCATCTTTAGTTAGGGGCCTGTGGCCAGTTGGCGATGGAGTTGTTTTCTGCCTGGAATGTAGACCATTTCTGACCACTGAAAGGGAGTTTTAATCGGGGAATCCGCTTTAGACACCCAAGGTTACCCGGTCTCGTCTCCATCGCATTCATCATCCCTCCCCTGTGGTAACTTCGGATTCGACCTACTTTTACGCATCGAACAAAGTAATCTATTTGGATATGGCTGAACTTAGGTAGATCGAAACTAAAGCCCTGCATGAACGGGCAACAACGGGACTTGCGCATCCACTATACTTATTTCCGTGTGTGCAATAATGTTGTAAATGCATACAATATACATAAAAACTATTCCTTCCTATAGCTATGATTTTATGAATACTGTGGATTCATGCAGGGCTCTAATCACATCCCCATGACCACCGGCTCAAATAAAATGAACATATTTATAGTACTACCTGCTACTCAGTTTCTACATATCCTCCCTATGAATGAAATAAACTTGTGAATCAAATTGTGAATGACTGAAGATGTCTCAGTGACTATACGAACATTATCTTGCTTAGCAGTAAATAATAATAAATGTGACTATATTTAAACAATATCAGTTGTTTTCCAGTTCGTCGAGCTTGGTACGTATACAGTCCTCTACACTGGAATCTACAGTTTCATGAACCTTGTCGTTATCATTCTCCGTGCGTCCCAATAGACGCTTGCTTTGGTAATTAGCCCGACGTCGTGGCTTGGAAGAGTTCTCGTTCTCGATAACAATCCGGTATTCTCTCTGCCATCTATATTTTCTCCTTAAAATATGCATTTTCCCTCTTCTCTTGTGGGGGGGCAGCGGCTTAAGCCGAGAATCGGTATTACCGTTCCTTATGATAATGGTAATGGGCGGCTGTTGGACTGTTGGGCTTTGAATAATGTTATCTATGTTGTTTATGTTGTTGTTATTGTTACTGTTTGTGTTCTGACCAGCTTCTATTTTTCTATTCGCCAGTTCTTTTTGGCACAGCTGAAGTAAAATATCCATCACTACGATTTCGCTCTTCGTCCCTGACGTGGTGTTGGTAATCGATTGAAGTACCTGGGTTCCTTTTTCAATCAATTTGTCGAACAGGGAGTGCAGATTAGAGAAAGAAAAGGCCACACACTGCAGTTCCAACCCATAAAATAGGGCTTTGGAAAACAACGATTTTAATTATCAAGCCGCTCGCTTACAATTCACTGAATAGCAAAAAACTCACCAGCGAACATCAGAAAATGCCGCATACTTAGACACCTTTGATCTTTAACTATGCTCGAAGCATCATGCATCGATTGTCGGACCGGAACAACACCGATTATAAGGATCAAATTCTGGAACTGTTACTAGTCTTTGATTTCATGCTCGAAGCTAAGGGTATTATCCACAGTCGCGTCAATGCACATAGCCATTCTTGGTGGTCTGTTTGAAGCTATTCTTATTCAACCTTTGCGTTCTTCTCTTTCTTTTCAATTAGCAAAAGAAAGAAAGAAAGCGAACTGGCATTGGATTCTCCTCCTGCTCTCCCCATCCATCACATCTCCATTCTTTCTCTGAATCATTTATTTATTTACATTTTTGTGTCTCGTTTTCGCAAGCGGAAGCATTTCTTCTCGCACATCGTGGAGTTTGCGTGTATGCGGATTTACTGGCTTATCCAGAGTGTGGGGAAGAGAGAGAGAGAGAGAGAGAGAGAGTAAACGCCCCTTCGTCTGGCGGCACTCGTATTCTGTCACATGTGTGATCGCGCAAGGGCGCTACTGTATGCTCTACTGCTCTTTCGCACGCATTCTGAACTTCTTTCTACCGCTATCTCTCCGACTTTGTCTGGTGTGGGCGTGGTGTGAATGCGACAGCGATACATCTGATCAAGGTGTACTGCAGACAAGAACAGCTTGTATTTCATTTACTTGTACTATTGTACAATGCTAATTATTCACACCATACTTTTATTACGTTTATTTCCCGCACTAGCCTCAGCTGATGTACCTTGAGAGTGTAGTGTAGTCTTATTGTTGTTGGAGCATGTCGCCTGCACGCAGTCTGCAGTCTTTCGGCCTCTAAACTGTATAAATTGTTGATTTTTCCCAGCGGAATTTAGGAATTCTACGCTATATTTTACGTCTGCCTGTGGCTTCACTCTGACCACCAGGAAATGTGGGTGGTAGGATTTTTTTATCTTGGTTGACACGGCTTGGGCATTTTGCAGATCCAATTCCAGTAACTTACAATCGTTGCCACAAGCCACAGTTTAAAGATGTGTGGCGTGTTTTGATCATCCCCACGGTATTTGGGATTTGGGTGGGATATTTCCAGCTCAACCAGAAAGACTACAGGTAGCCATCCGCCTCGTCTTGAAAGATATTTGGATAGCATTTGTACTCGTATAACATCCATGCCCAACAGGCTTTGCCTCGGAGCCGTATCACGATAAGAGTGAAAACTTCTAACCAGTGAAACAGAATATTTTTCAGGGATTCTCCTTTAATCTTTGATCGCTAAAGGACTACCGATATCCATCGCATACGACATACCAGCATGAGCTGGTTAGAGCGAGTTCTAAATCGATTCGTGCTACGTTTATTGGCCGTAATAGTCACCACCGATTCGTTTTACGAGAATGCACTTCCCGTCCACTTCGCACTTGGATATACACCCAAGTGGGCCGCAATGAGCGTTGAGTCTTTCGACCAAGTCGTCGGGGTCAATTCTGGACTCTTGGACTCCATCGTTGACTGCCTGAGGAATCACGGCTTCGAGCTGGCCCTGTAACCGGGTGTATTTTGCACTATCCCTATCGGACGATCCTTTTCTTTTTAAGGCCTGAAGCAATTCCTTGGCCATGGTTAACAGCTCAGACTTGTCGATAGTGATGACAATTTTTTTTTCAGGAATTTCCGACCCACACGGTCCACTTGGGTGGTCTCCAGTACAAGCTGGTAGCAACTCATTCGGGGGCAGGTATGGTGGTCGATAAGGTGGCAAGGTGGGCGATGGGTGATATTCTGGCCACCTAATCGATGGCCGACTGGCTTCCTCCTCTTCCTGTGTTTCATCCTTATCATTACAATTCCAATTTGGATTTAAAAGTGTTGCAAATCCGCATACTAGGTTTGAAATTTTCTGTACAGAATTGGCGCTAAATGTGCGGCTGTTGATCTTCGGACTAACAGGTAATTGGTAATTATGTTGGACCGAATACACGGCCAGGCCATTTTCCAGCGCCCTTTGGTATCGCAACAGCTTGCATTCTTCATTGCAATCATCATTTCCGTAGACATTTGACGTGCCAAGCAACGCTATAGGTGAAGAGGTATTTAGTAGTCTTCCATTTGGGAGCTGATGTCCAACTCACCCAGAAAGAGCACTAGTAGCATTCGCATCGTCTTGGAAAGTATGTCTTTTTTTTTTAATTTCGGTCACTTTTATATTGTTTTCGATTAGTCAGGCTCATCCATGGCTAAAGGATTTTATTTCGAATTCGTTCAATTCTTTAAAAAGCCGTGTCGAGATAAGACTATAACCTTGGAACATTTCCAACCCGGAAAAAGACTTCGAAATCGACTTCGGGCCTCTCCCGGCGGAGTATTCTGGTCCTGGTTAACTTCCCTAGAACTCGTTTAGCTTACTCATAAAATAATTGGGGATTGGGGAGAGCTAAACCATTTCACAGATATCATTTAAAAATACGTAATAGTACCCAAAAATAAAGCGTACAGAGCTGGTCGATGCCCCTCAACTTTGGTAGGGTTACCATATACGAAAATTCAACAAATTGACCAAGCCTTCTTTAAAAGAATGTTGTCTTTCGATGGTCTGAGCAAAATGACTGACTGATTGAGCAACTCAGCATCTGATATTATTTACTAGCACCAGTTCCGAGCACCACACAGGGCGGGAATGGCATTAGCAAAGAGCCGGACTCTTTGGGTTATATCTCTGGGAGAACAGTCCTAGTAGATTTATTTTCCCAATAAGATCCAGTACGTATTCCAACAAAAGCTCTGAGTAGAATACTTAACATTTTTTGTGGACTACCCGTCTCCATCGCATCCAAAATCCTTCTGGCTGCACTTCTTCCAATCCCCATTCTCTAAGTATCTCTTGCACTCATTTTTATGATCCAACCCCATTGCCTGGTAAATGTACGGTGGGAGCGCACGCCCAAGATCTCGTGAGCAATACTTATTGCTCGAACGAACGGTCTGTAGGAATTGTGTCTTGGATTATCCAGTGGGGGCTTCCTATGCGGTCTCAGTTGTGTGTTCAAATTTCGCTAGCATCCCGGATATCATATCCCTTTTTCAAGTGGACTAGTCAAGCGTTTTACATAACACGCACAGGTAAAGCGCTTCGTTCCGCTTTTCAAATGTTAAGGAAAGCGTGCGAAAATAAATAAATATTTGTTACGGAATATTCATATGCGGGGCCGGTAATTGATTTAAATGAATGAGCAAATACCTATTCTTACATATATTTATTGTAATGACAACGACCATAGGAATGGGGATGTGGATGTGGATGCGTAACGGTAACAGTAACGCGAACCGGATTTCGGTTGATTTGGATGAACCGGTTAGTTCGTTCGCTGCAGTCGAAGAGCGAAAGGTGTCCGGCAATGCATGCATACATTATTAGTGTGGAACGTTTCCAAATCTGAGTGTTTTCCCATTATTACTACATACTCGTATGTTATTTTGCAGCTGCGTTTCAGCTATCCGCCCACACACGACATATTATAATATATGTATATTATTTTGTTAAATTTTATCAATCGAATCGCTCTATTGGGAATAGAAAATGAGTTTCTTTTAGCTTAACTGTTCCCTGGGGCATTGGCGTGGCACATTTCGTTCTGGCTCGGGATCGGCTTGCTCGGTATTGTACTTATCATTTGGATTTGCCTTGGGCGACATACAAATATTGTGATTTGGACGGGGGAGAGCTTGTCGGAGACTTGAAACAAATTCGTATTGCTTTTCACCTTCATTCCCGGTTAAATATAACAAAAGCATAAATTTACGTTTACATTTCGGTGTGAGTTTTGCTGAACTCGCGTTTAACCAGTTTATAGTATAATATGTGCTGTATGTAACTAGGCTGAGTAATGCCAAAAACTTATAAGACACACTTTGTTTCTATTCCAGAAAGTTCCGGTGTGCCTCATACAGTTTATAAGGGTAATCAGAGAGAGTATGCGAAGGAATGCTTGATGATCTACGACAAGGAGACGGGTGCTATCACGATTGAGAAACTAAATCATAACATACAAGTGAAGAAGACAAGGTGATTGATGAGCCACTGCATCGTACATACTCGTGTGTACATGGTTCCTAATCAGGATCGTATTTCACCGAATACTATTATTATATGAACTTTGCAGAACCGAAGTTACCAACAAACCAGTACAGCTGCCGGCACAGAGTGTGCCCATGAACATGGGCCACCAAGGACAGGTCCTAGGCACGAACGGATCCGTGCCCCCACCCATGGCCCAATTGGCACAAGGGCCTTTGTCCGGGCCCGGAGGCAAACTGGAGAACAGCACCATGCGAGTTTCATCGAAGACAAAGGTCTCAACGGGCAGTCGTCGGAATAATATAAGTACGTATCCATTGCGATTGTAAGCGGTCCGATTGGAAACCCTCATTTGCATTCATTGCCTTCCAGTTGACTTCAAGCCGCGCAATTCGCCCATGCAGCAGAGCTCCCCTTCGCGACCAGTGGTCACCCATCGGAGTCCGCAGTCCGCGCCAGCGTAAGTTCTCCTCCTTGGGCATCTTTCCGAAGCCATCTAATGCTCTGGATCTTTCAGTTGGGATGCAAACAATGCCCAACAAACGTTGCCCAGCATTCCCATGATAACGGACGATGACGACTTTGGATTGAGGGCCGCTTTCCACAATGGCGGTCAGGCGAATATCTCCGGTTCCTCGACAGGCTCGTCGTCAGGCCAGCCCGACCTATATGGATCCTCGTCTTCGTCGCACATGGGGAAACAGCGGCAGGCTCATGGCAAGCGTCAGCAGATTCATCAACGTTCCAGTCCACCCGTGCAACAACAGCCACACTATCAACAGCAACAGCAGCCGAACTACGGGCGGGCCTATAATGGCGCCAGTAACTACGCACAACCACATCCCCAGCAACAACGGCACTCTCCGCACCAACAGCCGCATCAGCAGCAGCATCAGCGGCACTCCCCACAGCAGCAGCAACAGCGGCACTCTCCACAGCAGTTGCAACAGCAACGCCCCACGTCTTACGGGCATAGCAATAATATGCCCATGGACTTGGACTCATCCAGAGAACATGATCTGGCCTCACAGTCTGTTGCGCAAGCGGCTGCCGTTCTCGAACAGGTTGGTTCTGGGATCAATCAGTTTGAGAATATATATCAATTTGTTTATGTGTTTATTCATTCGTAGCAAATTGGCGGTGCTCTAAGTGCCTCTAGCTCCAGTTCCGAGTCGGATTCCAGCGACAGTGATAGCGGCAGCGACTCCGATGACAGCACCGAGGATGATCGTTCTATGAAAGAGCAGCAAGAGCAACAGCAGCAGCAGCAGCTGCAGCATCAGCAGATCCAACAGCCAGCCCCACACCATCAACGCCATCAACAGCAACAGTCCCAACAGCACATGAATCAGCTGCCCAACCTGGGCTTGGGTTCCATATCACCATCCTACAACAACCATCATAACCATCAGCAGCCGCAGCCGCAACCGCAGCAGCAACAAATGTCCGGCGTGTATGCGTCCAATGGTGGCTTTCCAAATGACTTGCTGCAAAACGATCTGCAGTTGTCCTCCAATTCGTCCGACGATGACGATTAGCTGCATTTAAGTTTCCATATAATTTGCCTTTTTTGACTAACAAAAAACAAAACAAAAACAAAAAGAAAAACAACATCAATTGATATTCTGTTTATATGCGTGTAATTAAGTTGTAATTATTGAGGAGAGAATTTAATTGCTAGTGAAATTTTTTATAAATAAATTCTTAGTTCTATATACCACGATATACACGAGCATACATATATTAATTAATTTTTAACACTATACTTAGAACTTCCAAATGTGCGGAAAAACATTCAATACGAACACAATACAACACAACGCAAACACTACTTTGCCAATACATATTTCAATGTATGTACATTAATTTTAAATACGAAATCTAATACAAAGGTTATGTGAAATTGGTTGGGAGTGGAGTCCTAAAGAAGAGCTCATATAGTTATATATATACTCGTACACCAACAAGAATTACAACACAATTACAACAAGAAACGAAGGGAAACTACAAGAATTATTTAGTTTCTAATGCAAATGCTGCAAAGCTTAATCTTAATTGTTAAGTTACCGACAAACATACATACTGCAAAAATAGAACAGAACATGACCACAGCGGATTTTTGCCATTAATTACGCATTTTAATCTAAGCCTTAAATCATTCGGATACCAAAAGTGAAAAAAAATTTCATGCTGATTAGATTTGGAAATGGAAATGGAGGCCCTTATTTGAAATACCTTTTGTTTGGCTCATTTTTTAGTCATATGTATTTAATTATGTAATTCTCCATTAATCTGGGCATTGTTATGGAAGCGATAATCCCTATATGTTCGTGGATAAATTTCAATTGACTTGTTTGCTATTGCCCTCTTATCTTTATTAGTTAACTATTCGCGCGGTATGAAGACATATGTGTTTTTAGCTCATGTTTTATTTGAATTTATTTGTAGTTCTTTAATTAATTTTTAATAGCTATTATTATGATTTTGTTATTTGCTTGCAATAGTTTAAAGCAATGAGAAAAGAAATAAATGTGAAACAAAAAAGACGCCCTGCGTGAACCGCTTTTTTTGTTGGCTCCTTCCACACCCTGATACCAAAACTATCGATGGACTATGAGCATTATTGTGGTGCACTAATACTTTACTTACTCAAAATACAACTCCTTCCAATTGGGTGAGCGTGCGTGCCATGCAGTGCCGTTCCGTGCCCCAAAGTCCAGACACACACTTACTAATATTAACACTATTTCATTTGCCAACACAATAATAAATTGTATTTATAAAGTACCATCCATCAGGAAAAACGACCAATAGAAGAGGAAACGCCAGAGAGGAGGAGATAGAGAGATAGCGATATGAGATGATAGGAATTATTTTTTGTACATGCTATATATGATAGTAATCAGGCCTTGAATAGTAGTAGAACTCCCTCTCTCGTTGGCAGACTGCAGAAGCAAATCACCAATAACTACAAATACAACTAAATAATGACAAAATGATTCAGATAATCATAAGCACAATATACATATGCAAAGAAACTAGAACTAATTATAGAATCCACAAATGCCTACGATCACAATGAAACAATGAGAGTATCTTAGTCTAATTGGTAAGCAAATATATATATACATATATACATATATTATATACACACATGCATGTACACGACTTTATATACAACAAACATACATACCTAAATACTCTCAGTTGAATTAGTTTTAATAACGACAATTAAACACTCAACAAGCAAAATAAATTATGACCGATTTGGTCGTGTGGTTCTACTTATTAGAGGGAGGAAGTTTGGGACATGTTTGCGGGTCGGATCGGATCCAACATATACTCGTAGCAATTACTTGTTCAAATTGTAATTGTAAACTCTACATATGGCTTCCCTCCGCCAGAGGGCGCTGACCTTAAACGACAAAGGGTGTGTGAGAGCGAGAGAGATAGAATATCAGGCGGATCGTGTAGGGCGCTGCGTTGCCACTGCAAATTGATTTGTTCCTTTTGTCTATAAAAACAATCCGATCAGATCCAGATTCGGCCATCTGGTAGATATGGTCATTCTTTATGATTGTGCGTTTTTAGTTTTCTCGTATCTTTAATATTGTGGATGCCACAGATGCCACAGGGTGGGGTAAAATTTTGAAATACACTTGCAACAGTGACATATCACAGAAGTCTGGATACAAAATGTCGTTGCTCTTATAGTCTCTGAGCACTGAGCGCTCATAGACGGACAGACGGACAGACAGACAGGGCTCAATCGACTCGGCTATTTATGCGTATCAAGAATATATATACATAATTTATGGGGTCGGAAACGACCTTCCTTCTGCACGATACACATATCCATTTTCACCACAAATCTAATATACCCCTATACTCATTTTGAGTATCGGGTATAAAAATGAATGTATGTGCCTTTTATAACATCATTGCACAAGTATAGAGCGGGCCTATCAAAATCCCTAATGAGTCGGATTGGGATGACTTGTAAGAGTTATACGGGGCATATCCTTTTTCTTAGCCTTGATTTCCTTCACCACCACCTGCTCTGGACAGAGCAAATGGTAACATATTGAGTCGGGGAGAAGTTTATTTTAAAGGAAGCAATCTCCCTGGCATAAGAGATGTTGAATTTATCCACATTTAAGCTAACAAAATGTATTTTGCTTATATAAAAGCATAAAAAGCAACAGCTAAAGCATAAAAGCTGTCAGATCTGGGGCTAGTCACTTTGGTGGAACACCCACCAGTGGTTTTGCCACCACAGGCCTGGTACCTGTGATGGTCCCGGTGGTCCGGGACGTCTGTTTACTAGTGGGATCAGACGGGATAGGTAATGAGCCAATAGCTTATTTATAAGCCCTGAAAATTCAAACACTGCACCGGTGCAAGTGCACTCATTGCGGTAAACCCGGTGGGGGTTTTAAGCGGGATACCAATTATTAGGATCGTGTAATTTTGGAAAATACCTGGAAGGCGCTCTCAGATAAATTGGGGAAAACAGGTAAGTTTTATTATTGATCTTTGTATATTCATTTATCTATATGTATACGAGGTTTGCTATTTATATTTCGGGAATTGGCAATACTAATGCTATTACGTAAAATCTGACAACGCCACAATAAACTCTGTAATTTTTTAGCACATATGTACATACAACGTTTTTATGTACAATTGTTTTTTGGAAATCCTTAAAAAGTTCGACCGTGGTGCTTCAAAAGTCGTTTATAAAATCGTGATAGGTGATGAATCATGGATATATGCGTATGACCCGGAAACTAAACAGCAATCGACCGTGTGGGTGTTCCAAGAAGAGCCAAATCCAACAGAAGTTGTTCGAGCACGAAGCACTTTGAAGCAAATGGTCGCCTGTTTCTTCGGGAGAATGGGTCATATGGCCATTGTTCTGCTAGAGCAACGTAGGACTGTCAATTCTGAGTGGTACACGGCCATTTTTTTGCCGGAGGTCTTCGGAGAAATTCGCAAAACCAGCTGCCGAACACGAATCATTCTCCATCATGACAAGGCGAGCTCTCTACGTCTTCTGAAGGAATGTCCAATTCAGTTCCAATGATGGCCTGTTGAAATCTTGATGCAGCAAATATTTCTCCTTCTCTCTGACTAAATTTACCCCACCTCAATAAACATAAATTTAGAGTTAGAATCGGCCACGTCTCGAACAATTGAAAACAAATTGTTTAAAATGAAAATAATCCGAGCCAGAATTATTTGAGCATTTTAATCGGCAGTGATGGGAAGTCGTACTCTGTACAGTCTGGTGGGATCATGTGAGTCGAATTTAATTCTTCCCAAATTGGAATTGGAAAGTGCTATTCGAAAGCTAAATGCAAGTGCTCTCATCGAAATTCCAGTGGACAAATATCTCAAATATCTCATATTTAGCGGAGCTGTGCAAAAAGAAATTTTAATACTTAAAGGGCGAATATCGCAAGGCTCAGCGACATGTGCCAAAAAAACACGACTCAGGAGCAACAGCAGCGGAGCCTCACCATTCGAAATTTAAATATTTACATTTTATGCATTTTTTAAATGATGATTTCGGTGGAGAAACCGGCGGAAATATACAAGGTATATTTGACGAACTAACAAATCCAAACAACGACAAATCAACCGAAAAAAAGTAATGGACAATGAACTTATTTGTTTGTTACGGAAGTTGTACATACGGATATAATACTGATTCGAGCAATGTAAAGAAGAAACCAACCATTTTTTTCCGGATTCGGTGTCAGTTTTTCTATTCTGTTCTGCTCTTCAAACAATGTCGTACTATCCCATTCAGTACTTCGCGCCACAGCAGCAGCCGTGGGCCAACAGCTGACCCAACTGTAGCAGGTGGACTCACAGCTCATCCAGCACAGCTTACAGCGTACCATTGCGGGTCCCAGGATGCCGTCCTCGCCATCAGCATAGCAGAATTCCCTACGCAGCAACAAGTACCATCAGCAAACAGCAGCAGCAACAATAGCAACAGATGCCACTCTCAACAGCAGCAGCAACCTCCCATGAGCAGCAGCCAGAGCATGCAGAATGTTAACGATTTTCAGGGAGGCTTCCATAATGGAGGCGACCTAGACCTAGGCGACCTAGGCAACAATCCGGCTGCTCCGCCCAGCACCGCACCGAAGCCCCAAGAAGAGCAGACGCAGCTGACGCCCGGGATGTACTATGTGGCGAGTATCTTGGTCCCACAGAAGGGTAGGCGGCTCCACAGGGCCAGCAAACCGTGGGAGCGGGACAAGGACCTAGAGATGAGACGCGAACAGCAGCAACAGCAGCACAGCAACAGCCCAAGAACCTACTTAAGCATAACCAGCCCCCCTCGCCATCCATGACACATACATAGGTCGGCATATGCGGCGGTACAGCAGCAGAAAGTGGTAAAACATCACCAGGAGCAGCATCTGCCTCACCATGCGCACCACCACCTGACTCGCAGGAGGTGGCGAAGCAGCATCCTTATCTACTCCTCCTGTAAAGTCTATCGAGAGAAAATTGTAAAGCTCTTTCCTGCGGAACCGCGGGAGTCGTCCAAGCGGATTCCTGTCCATTTGATATAGAAGAATGGATATAGAATATATAAGATGGATTCTCCACCGTTTACCTCATGTTTCTCTCCCTCTCGCCCAAGAGCGACACCGGCGGGAATCGGAGCAACAGTCGGGGCTGCAAACCACCTTAG